AACCAGGTGGCATTGCCACTGGCACTTTTGGAGTCTCCTTTAAATGAGCCTCTGTACGGTACCCCTTGCTGAGTAGGGGCTGTGTAATTGCTTACGTATCCCGACCAGTCTTTACTCATTCTTGGTTTTATCTAATGAAATACATCTACTTAACTCATAAATGCATCACCATTTTTTTTTTTTCAAAGGGAATTTGGGAATGGGGACAAACATCTTCAGTAAAGAGAGGCAAAGAGTTTTTTTTTTTTTTTTAAATAAGTTTATTTATTTACTTATTTTAATTTTACCAGAGAGGGACAGAGTCATAGAGAGAGGAAGTGAGAAAGCAAGCCGCCAGGACTGAGACTTGAACCACACACAGTCTGCCATGTGGGAGTCCAGCGCCTTTAACTACCAAGCCACTTGCTGACCCCGAGGCAGAGAGTTTTTTAAGGTCATTGTTTCTTTTATCCCTAAGCGTCTCTTTTGCAGAGGGATTGTTATATATTTCCATGTCCTTTGCAAGGAACAGAAATATATTCAGAATGGGTCAAAAGTTTGATTGTCACAATAAAACAAGCAATCTCACAGCTATTCACAGACAGGTAGCAAGTTATCACCAGGCATTCTAGAATCTGAGTGAGAAAGTGAGAGCTAAGGCGTTGTGCATGCTCCCTCTTTTTTTTTTTTTTTTCTTATTTTCTTCTTTTGGTTTAAAGTTTATTCCTCCATCTTTTTCCCGGAGAGAGGCAGAGAGAGAGAGAGAGAGAGAGGGAGCTCACCCCTAACAGAGTCTTGACACTGTGATCCAGCCCCAGCTTCAGACAGTCCAGGATCATGTGCACACACATGCCCAGCACGCTCAGGGAGGTCCTCGGGCACCAACCTATAACCTTCTCATATGGGTCAGCCTCAGAACCTCATGTTTTACCACTGAGCCACCGTCTGGCTCGCTCCTGCTCTCTTGAACCTTAGGGTCTTTCACCTTCTTAGAGTTGCCACATTTAGCAAATGAAAATACAGTATGAACAGTTAAATGAATTTTAATAAACAATATTTTAGTTTAAATTTTTTATCTTGTGTGTTATTTGGAACATATTTAAACCAAAAACTGACTCATTGCTTCTCTGAACTTCAGATTTATCTGAACATCCTGTATTTTATCTGGCAACACCAACCTTTCTGTGCACATGCTTTTTTCTTCCATCTGACAGAAAGCCACCTGTGTATAGATTTCTGTTACCACGACAGGAAATGGAGTGGCACTCTAAATGACTTTTGACCCTCCAGTTCACCACCAATTGTATGGTGGTGTCGTATCTTGGTTGGAAAAAAAATTTTTTTTGGAGAGGTTTTTGCTATAGGGCGTGTGTGCTCGCCAGAGAGACAGAGACAGACAGAAAG